ATTTATTATTTAATTGGTTCACTGTTTATTACAGTATTCCATAGCGCACAGGATGAGATCATAGTTTTATTATTTAGAAACCAGACTACATTTCATACTTTTAAATTATTCATTGCTTTCCCAGAAAACCTGCACATGACACTTTGGCTATTGGATTCTGTGACTGAGTTCTGTAAAGATCACAAATGTTTTTTTCTCTTCATAGTGCAACGCAAATGTTACTTTGCTGTTGTTTGTGAGAAGTTTTAGCAAAATATCTGACAAGCCACTGGACGGAAACTTTCCAAAAGTAATCATCATTAATCTGCAAACTATTTTGCAGATCTCTATCTATATTTTAGAAAAATAATGAAATTAGTAGCTTTATTAACACAATACATATTCTTTTTAGTTTATCTGTTTTGTTGATTAAAACGCGAATCTTCCCTCCTCTCACATTCCACCGCAGATAGGAGGGCTCTTATCGAGTGGAGCACTCTGATTGGCCGAGGCGGATGTCAGTTTTCCAGAGCTCGCTCCCTGATTGGCTGCTCCTGCTCTCCGTTACTCCGGAATGCAGCGTTTTGTTTTGGGAGGGTCTTCTGCGCTGCTCGGTAGTGGTCGTTTGTGGTTTTTGATGGGGGGTTGTTCGCCTCGACATTTCCATGGTAACTGAGCAGTCTGAGGTCTGATAGGGAGCAGAAACGTGAGAATGGAGCTGGAGGAAAAAAACCCGGACCCGAAATACGGTAATGTTTCCGTCTTTTCCTCTATCTTAGATTTTTTTTTAATTATTTTTAGTTTCCGCCTTGAATCTGAGGAGGAATGGAAACACTGCAATGGATGGATGGGTGTGGACCCCATGAGTCCTCTGCAGACCTGGAGGCTTCCTCGTCCTCTTCTTCAGCAGAAATCTTTGTTTTTTGACAAACTGGGACATTTTTCCATCTCATTTTGTTTGCTTGTTTACAAACACATGCATAATAAAAACACATGGTTTCATTTAATGTATCATGTGTTACTATGCAGCCAAAGCTAAATCTGGTTCCTTATGGTAATGGGATTTATAAAAGCTGATGATTAGAGCTTTTTTTGAGATGTTAAACCAGGTTCTGTCCCTGTGAGACCGAGTGTTTATTTCTAATTCAGGATAATCAACAAATACTATCTGCAGGAAGTGTTTATTATATGGTTGATTGTTTTCTCTCCTGGTTCTGGAAACCATTTGGTGTGTTTAGATCAACATATGTTCCTCTCACAGCTTCTCACAGTAAACACATGGATTGAACAGATGTTGGTTACTTTGTTTTCTTGTTTTTTCTTTTATTTGTCTGGACTTTTTTTTTCTGCGATCAAACCTCTTTCATTCATTTATCAAAATGTTTATCTCTTTCAGGAGATGGGTGGTGTGACTGTACTTTTATAG